CACCCCCTCCTCCCACCCACTCACCAAAAGTCCCATGACACTGCTCATGTATCACAGGAGACGTCGATAACAGAATCACTATTGGCCGGTAGAAATGGAGAAGATGAGCAACACAATCATCAGTCTCTCCTAACACAATCGTTGGAGAACCATTCAAATGTGTGTTAGCTGTAAAATTTTTCAACTTGTTAATCTGATGAACTTTTATTGATTTTAAATCATTAGCTAATAAATAATGATAGTAACTATTACTATAACTTTACTCTTTTATTAATCAGGTAAATTAAGAACAATTTACACACAAATAGCATGAGTTCAGAAGGCACAGCCTATCCTTTTTTTTTATCCCACTCACTGAAACTATAAACTATATGTAAAGAAACACAAAAAAAAAACTAGTCGCTGAATTTTACTTAACTTCGGCTGAGAAGGAAGCCGCTCTCTTGAAACAGATTCTGATAGCTCTAACTCAGCATCACTTCTAGGTCGACCTGGGGAAAAAATAAGGTTTGTAAAATATGTAGAAGTCGAGTGAGATCAGACCCCCACGGTGCAGCTGACGGAAAGACCCCCAGCAGTGTGACTGACAGAGCGGAAAGGTGAGGTTTTTCAGACAGAAACCCAAGGTGTGCAATACTTTTCCCCGCCAGCCTCTACAAGACATGTCCAGTGACTTTCCACTTTATCTTTGCAATACACCCAGTTATGTTTCTTCCGGAGGTAAGGTAGCAAATGACTTCCTTTCGAATGGTACTCAAGGTACTCGAATTTTTTTATTTGTTACCATACTCTTTATTCAACCATTCGCGTGCTTTTTGAATCCAATCTGACATAAAGAGACAGCCAATTATCAAATCTTTCGGGTCACCGTCTTTGTTTTGATATGTGCAATCTTTTAGTGTTTACTTTAACCCTAGATTTTATTCTCGTTTCAAAAGAAATCATGAATGCACCATAAGTCAATACATCACCCTTAAGGCTGGAAAGTTGTACTACCTACATGAATGCACAGCGATAAAATAGGTCACACTTTTTTATTGTACATAGAAATCGCGCCACATTGTTGATCAAGGTGACTTTGAACTGCCCTGGAAAATTGAGCGTCTCACCTGACCAGGTGTCCATGTTACTAGAGACAGCACATCTTAATGGCGACAGCAGGCGTGTACCTGCCACCAGGAGAAATATAACTGGAGAAAAAGAGAGGTAATTAGAATTCTGAAAACACACAGGGTTGGTGATTATTACAGTGTGTGTCTGAGTAGGGTACGTTGTAAAAAAACATTTGGTACACACTTTGAACTTTATGGTTTTTTTTTTTTTTTTTTTGTTCGTGCAATGTTCCTTTCCGTATGTCCTGCAATCGTCAGTGTGTAAATCGTACTGCACTGGCTCTCATTCTACTGTTGTAAAGTATTGTAAAGTACATCCCATAAAGAGACTTACGGGGTATTTTGTAGGTTGGGAATTTCATCTAAACTACAAGTCCCATACATTACACGACATGTATTTAAAAATAACTTACAGTTGTGCGTTTACTCTATTACTAACTCTATCTCATTCATACAATACCCCCATTGCTCTATTTTAGGATATTGGTCCTAGGAGAAATGTCTCTGTCCAAGATTCTAACGGAAGATTTCCTAACGTGCAGCATATGCCTTGAGAAGTTCAAAGAACCCAAGGTTCTCAGCTGTGCGCATACCTTTTGCCAACATTGCCTCCAAGACCACTGGGACAGTAATTTCCAAGGTCAGCCTAGCTTCCCGTGTCCTATCTGTAGACGTCAGTGTGACCTCCCTAGGGACGGTGTAAGAGAGTTACAAACAAACCATCTTCTGCTCAGCATATTACATACAATTAATCAAGTAGAAGAAGCCAAAGCTGCTACGAAATGCGAGGTATGTTGTCTGAAAAATGTCCTCAATCCACCAACGGCATCAAATCGTTGTTTCAACTGTGAGGAAAGTATGTGTGGTGATTGTTCTTCAGACCATGTTCTTCATAAGTTAAACCGTGACCACAAACTCTTTCCAGTCGACCAGTTAGAAAGTGACTAATACGTGACAGAGCTGCGTGCCCGACAAAACGTCCTTTGTGACCACAACAACAAGGATCCCGTAGAAATCTTCTGCGCAGTGTGTAACAATTACGTCTGTGCCACGTGTAGTTTTTTGGAACACCAAGGCCATGGTTGCCTTAGAATCAAAGCTGCTGCAGACAAACGCAAGGAAAAACTAGAACTCCTCGTTAGGCCCATTGAGAAGAAAAGTCTACTCTACGATCAGTTCAAGACCGCCGCTGAAGACCAGAAAGCGCTAATAGAAGAAGGAAGAAAAAAGGCAAAGAGTCAGGTTAACAACCAGATTGAGCTAGTTATTAAGATGGTCCGCCAACATGCCGATGATCTTCTGGGAGAAATAGATGCCAAGTCGAATGCAAAACTAGAGGTGTTAAATGCTTTAATTGCAACTGCTACCGCTGAGCAGAATCAGCTGGACGACGCTGTAGACTTTTCGAGAAAGCTCATAAACCATGGGAATGACATGGATGTCCTGCAAATGGCCTCCGCCTGTGAGCAAAGCAACATAAGCGTCCAGACTCTCGACATCCCGACCCTGCCCGCAGCCATGACCCAGCTACAGCTGATCACCAACGACATGGAGGAGTGCGTTACCAATATCAACCGTTGCCTTGGAGACGTGGTTCCAGCTGTAAGTGGAAGATTAGTGACATCATTCAAAGTAGAACTGACCAAGACTCCTGAAGAGATGATCACTCACGTGACCAGTGATACAAATGGTGACATCCTTATTGGTATTTGTTGTAATGAGGACAAGTCACGGAATAGAATCCACATCTACGATGCCACCTTTGTCCTACAGGGCACAATTCCAAGCCAAAAAACAGCAGAAAATGAGGCGTTTTCTGGGATTGCCTTTGATGCTGACGGTAACATCGTCACTAGATGCCAGGTGTCAAATGAAATCATTGTCTACACCAAGACAGGGGACCACGTGAGAACATTCCACAGTGAGTCACCACATGCAGTAGCGGTTAACAGCAAGGGTCAATATGTGGTGGCCGGTCGTAATACTCTGACTGTGCACCACAAGGATGGCAAGGTCCTGCAGACGACACCAGACCCAGGGGGTAAATATTACAAATACGTCCACCGCAACATGAATGACGATGTCATCGTCACAGGAGATGATCACATCCGTGTATACGATTCCACTCTCCAGCTTAAATACAGATATGGTACCCAGGGTGATGGGGACGGAAAAGTTAACATTCCGCGTGGTACATGCTGCTTGGATAATGGAGACATAATTGTAGCAGACGTCAACAGCCATCGTCTACACCTGGTGTCACCAGATGGGAAATTCAAGCAGTTTATTTTAAGCAAAGACAATGGACTACGCTATCCGAGAGATGTTACTATAAGCCATCTCGGAAAACTGGTTTTTGCGGAAGATGGAGGCGAGATTAAGTTTTTTGAATTATGAGTGATTGCCAAGCTAACAATGGACTCTGAAAAGATCATTTATATGCAGACAATATCTCAGTAAACATTGTATCGGCCCAGTTTTCACGCGTTTCACCCATGATGAACCCGAAGAGGAAAACTGACAGAAATTCACTGATTCTTAATTCTTAATTTTTTTTTAACTAGTTGTACAGGTTGGTAGATAACATTAATAGCCTGATGTACCAGATACTAGTAGAGGTTTGCCCTTAGTCAAAAGAGATTAAGTCACATTTGGCTTACGACCTACTGGAGCAAGGAAATCCAGCATGAATTGATATTGCTGTAGAAAAATAATAACAGATATAGCTTAAAGGGCCAATTCACAATAATTACCTACGAGGTAACTGGATGTAATAGCAACTTGTGTTACGCTGATTTTCATGCACTTTGTTTGTCCAACTACGATATATATTGCTTGAAGAATGCTTATTTAGAAAAATTATTTTAATTAATACCATATGTTTCAAATAAATCCTGCTTATGAATTCCGAATATTTATATTTTTCAGTTATATAATAATCACTGGGTATAATTACTTTATTTCTTGAAGGGCAAAGAATAAAAAGCGGCATTCACCAGTCTTGAGGATGGGGAGCCTCACGGATCACGCATAATAAAATTGGCGCTTTTTGCATCTACGGAAATAAAAAGTGGGAAACGGAAATACCAACAGGAGCCTCTGATATTATAGGGAGTTCCTATACAGCTTGTTGCAAAATTAAAGAGGGACAGCCAATTTAAAAAACTATAAACTTGCCACCCCTTTAGTTACTGACGTAGGTAACACGTCCCACGGCAAATCTATGACCCCATTCAGAATAGCTGACTAACAAACATGCCAACCTACTGTTATCAGGTTATTATAAATATGAGAACAAACTATGACCCCATTCAGAATAGCTGACTAACAAACATGCCAACCTACTGTTATCAGGTTATTATAAATATGAGAACAAACTATGACCCCATTCAGAATAGCTGACTAACAAACATGCCAACCTACTGTTATCAGGTTATTATAAATATGAGAACAAACTATGACCCCATTCAGAATAGCTGACTAACAAACATGCCAACCTACTGTTATCAGGTTATTATAAATATGAGAACAAACTATGACCCCATTCAGAATAGCTGACTAACAAACATGCCAACCTACTGTTATCAGGTTATTATAAATATGAGAACAAACTATGACCCCATTCAGAATAGCTGACTAACAAACATGCCAACCTACTGTTATCAGGTTATTATAAATATGAGAACAAACTATGACCCCATTCAGAATAGCTGACTAACAAACATGCCAACCTACTGTTATCAGGTTATTATAAATATGAGAACAAACTATGACCCCATTCAGAATAGCTGACTAACAAACATGCCAACCTACTGTTATCAGGTTATTATAAATATGAGAACAAACTATGACCCCATTCAGAATAGCTGACTAACAAACATGCCAACCTACTGTTATCAGGTTATTATAAATATGAGAACAAACTATGACCCCATTCAGAATAGCTGACTAACAAACATGCCAACCTACTGTTATCAGGTTATTATAAATATGAGAACAAACTATGACTCCATTCAGAATAGCTGACTAACAAACATGCCAACCTACTGTTATCAGGTGATTATAAATATGAGAACAAACTATGACTCCATTCAGAATAGGGGACTAACAAACATGCCAACCTACTGTTATCAGGTTATTATAAATATGAGAACAAACATTAACATATACTTTCCTCGAGCACATTTATTTAGAATATTAAAGGTTAAGGGAGCATTGCATTTGCAGCAAATAGTATTGATATTATCGTGGTAGGCCTAAAGGTAGAAATACAAGGGCTAAGATTGGTAATTTTATCCATAATTATAGGTCCCGTTGTAACATCATTCATTAATTTATTATAGGATGACAAATGTATTTATTTGTCTTTTTATTTCTAAAACACGAAATATGTTTATCATGCTGTGATAGATTTCCAATATTGGATCCCATATATCAAAATGTAAGGATTATTTAAAGATAATATGTAACGCTAAGCAAATAAAAAACAACTGTGTTTCTATGTAATTCTAGAAAAAGATTACATTTATTACCTCCACCAAGGAGGTTGTTTTCACCCCTGTTTGTTTGTCTTTGTCTTTCTTTCTGTCTGTCATCAACATAACTCAAAAAGTTATGTACAGATTTTAATGAAATTTTTAGGAACTGTCAGAAGTGGACCAAGGAACAGATGATTAGTTTTTGGTGGTGATCCGGATCAATAATCGATCAATAATCAATAAACAAAAATAAAAAAACTAAATCATTATAGAATGAAAATTTAGGGTGAAACGGAATTGGGTGGAGACTTTGCTTCCTTGGCGGAGGTCTGCGCTCTCGGAGTGCTTGTCTAGTTATCTGATAAAATGCTACAAATCAGGAAGAACGAATCCACTTAAATTCCACTGGTATTTTGACATGCCATGTATTCATACCCTCATGGGAAATAGTCATGCCACAAAATAAAACATAAAAAGATCGTTCAAGCTGTGAAAGGTCCCCAGAATAATTTGGCAGAAGTGTCCACCATGACGCCAAAAAACTGGGTACCAGTTAAAATGAATTCCTCTTGGGAGATAAGCCCATTGCCGTCAACATCAATGGCCTGGAAAGACGGAGTCACGGAAAAAGGATGAACGCCAAAACTGGCTAAAAAATGGGTAAACTCCTTAAGGGTGACATATCCGTCTCCATTTGCGTCTGCAACGCCATCAAAATAAGTCCCAAACCAATCGCGGGCATGCTTTTCCATGTTGGCGTCAAAATCCATGAAATACCGCGCATGCGCATGCAGAATATCTTCGAATGTCCGGGTGTCCTTCGGTGTTTCGCTTTTCATGAACGTATCCCATCCTTCATTTAGGAGATCAGAAAAGACCCTGATCTGTTCTTCGCTCATCCATTTTTTGGCTCTGTCTAAAATGGTGTCAACGAAGTCTGATCTATAGATGATGCCATCGCCATCGAGGTCGAAGAGGATGAAAAAAGAACGCATCTTACGTACCCAAAAATCGGGATAAGGAGCCAGAGCTTGGCTTTCCATAACTGCAATCTAGAAAAAAAAAGGCAAATCTTGTAATATTCTCACATTCATAATTGCATGCCTTAATCAATTAAAAAGTTTTTTTCATGACATTGTGCGCATTAGTTCAGTGGGCCTAGAAAATTTATTTTCAAAAAACTCTATCAAAACACATGTATATTTATTCACTAACAAAATAGTGGTAATATTGTGTGCCCCAAATTTAGAAGTAAGGCACTTTCCCATGATTAGAAAACATGCAATATTAGGGGTGCCTTTTTTACATTTTCATTTTATTTCATTTTTGCTCAGGGTGCTAAAGTGAAATTCTAAGCCATTGGATGCTTTTTTTTTTTTCGCTCAAAAAATTGATCTTGTTCAGATTTAAAAATGATATCATCAGAACATTCTCGGGTCTTCTTTAGAATGCACGATGATTAAATGGCTCATTTTATATTGTCCCATGGGCTTATCTTCTTATGACCAAGATTTGACAGAAAGATGTGTTATGCACCTGCTTCCAAAAAGATGTACAGTATAATATTAAATGGTACATCTTTAACTGCCACGTTTCTAGCCAAAGAAAAAACAAATTCTCGAGATCGGAAACTTTGCCACGGTCTGCTATATAAGGGTGCTTTTACACTATAGCATGCTAAGTTATGAAAAAAATCCCCAAACGCATTAAAACGTAAAAAGTCCGAAAGCTAGGCCAACTCAATAAATGATGTTATTACACTTCATAGTGACAAGCTCAAAACACTGCGTATAAAATACATAATATTGAGTGGTCTTTGATCAAATCTCGAATTAACAGAATTTTCGGAATCGATCTAGACTGAAACCAGCGACTACGTTTTTATCAATTTATCGATCTATTTATTATTTCAAATAATAAATAACGTCTCTTTCATAGTTACATACGCACCGCGACACATGGAATTAAGTTTTAGGTTAAGATCTGTTATCTTTTTTCTTTTTTTTATGTGATCATTATTTTTCACCGTCAGCTGCCAACACACGTTCCATATAAAGAGGTTTTGCTCTTAGAACCCATTCCCATAGATATTTAGATCGATCTAACCCCCTGGGTAGTCTCACTAGATTGGTGTAAGCTTAACCGGCTTAAATGTCTGTCCCGCCTACTAAAAGCTGTAAGGGGGTAACTAACTGTCGTGCGTGTTCGGCTGACAGCAATTTAGCGTAACCCCCAGGGAGTTTAGGTCGATCCAGATGGATCGATCTAAATCTCTGGGAATGCACTCTTATACTCCTTTCGTACACTTGCTCTCGGCCTGGGCAATGCTGGGTTTTACCGATACAAGATTGAAATATTTTCATAGGGTGTCAAAATAGCGATTTGTCACGCCAACGTTGGCTGCTCTGAGATAAGGCAGATTTTGTCATTTTGCACGATTTATCTGTATTGTCGTTTCATTTGAATTAACTCCCCGTCTTTCACATCAACCTCATTATTATCTAAATCGAGTCCAGTATCAACTCCAACTTAGGAACTCAAACACCCTGGTTATTAGACAAGTGCCCCTTGATGAATAAGGCGAATCTATCTAGTGCATGCGTTCGTTATACTGGACGATTCTTCTAACAGTTGACATGTGGCTCTACTTATTTTATTTACAAGAACTTCGCTTCCCTTAGTTCAATAAAAGAGAGCATTTTAAAGCTAAAAAGTAGGTTTTTCTTTATGGTTGATACTGATAAACAAGAATAACTCCCCCAGAGAAAGAAAAGGAGAAATCAAGAAAACAACATTATGATGATGAGCACTAAATGTAGCTCCTTATTATCAGCCATATCTTCATCAACATGCCAAGTTTATTTCACATTTTTTT